ATCATAGTATGATATTGTTCCATAATAATTGTACTCTCTCAGTTGTAGCATTTTAATTAAATATAATTTAATTACTGCACTTTTTTTTTTTTCTTATGTGGATCATAGTCGTATAGTTCCGGAATACAGCTTTCTGGATGCTCGTGGATTGGGAGCATATGAAGGCAAGAATTTAGAGTCTGTTTCGGAAGTAAGATTTCAATCTATCTTGCAATGTGGCAGTCCGTGATTTATTGTTGCTCTCAGACTTGTGTGTGTGGTTGAGAAGCTTGAAATTCTAGAATGAATATGTATCAGGTAGGTGCTTTTATAGATAGACTAGGGCTTGTGTGAGACTTTACTTCTCACTGCTTTCTTCAGCCCTTATGAGGGAATCCCATGTCACGAACTCACAATCCATCCACATAATGAAACTTTGCTTGTTTGAAAATGCCTAAGGTATATGCCTCAGATAGTCTTTCTTCAAATATCAAGCCGCCTCCAATTGATGATGGAACACCAAATGAAAGTGTTGCAGATGTATTTGTCCGCGTGACACAACTCATGTCAATTCTCGAGACCCAGTACTCTGAGGACACGGTCATTATTGTTTCACCAGATTCTGACAATTTGACAATCCTACAAGCTGGTTTAGTCGGACTTGACCTTCGAAGGTAAATGACTTCAACTGGTTTGGTCGATCTTGTTTTATGGAACACTTCGAATCTTCACATGTGCAATTTTATATGATTTAGCCTTTGATAACTAATTCCTCTCATTTGTTTGCAGGCACAGCAATCTTTCTTTTGGTCCTGGTGAAGTCAGATTAGTCGATGCTAGTAGCATACCTACCTACAAGCAACCTGCATCTGCTATATATAAGTGTTTAAACCCACCAAGCTGTACATGAAATTATTCACAAACACATTACAGGCTCGAGGCAGATTTCTGTTTCTTTCATATTTTTTGGCATAAGGAATAGGTTAGGCAGTGAATGGGAATGAGCCATCTAACCCTTTTGTCGAGATGGTGAAGTTTATCTTCTCTGCCCAGGAAGTAAGCCTCTTATGCAGAACTATTACAAAGAAAGTATTTACTATTCTTCAATTATTGCTGTTCTTATTCTTCTTTGTACAATTTTCCTGTTTTTTATTTTTTAACTGCTGGGGTTGTGAATGACATCTAAAGGGCCATGGTGCTCCTATCATCAGATGGAAAATATTATGGAAAACATTATATAATGTGTTTCATGAATTGGAACATTAGAATTTTATTGAATAGATATGGGTAAACTTTCATACATTTGAGCATACATACCCAATGAATTTTCGTTTCCGATACTATGTATCCAAATTCTTTGTTAGAAGCCATCTTTTTTTGTTTTTGTTAGTTTGTTAAGATTATCGGCATTGTTGGCTATCTTCCTCCTTGAAAATGGGTTTTCACCTGTATTAGAAAGGAAGATGACTCCAATTTACCATTGCAGAGCTTGCCAAATACTATAGCTAGTGGGATAATCTCTTTTTCTAAGTAATTGTTGAGCAAAACAACAGTGTGCATGAGGACAGTTCAATCTCTCAATGTACTTTTCAAATATCTGGATCTAAATGAACCGGGGGCATTGGACTAGGCTGTGGACAATGTACCCTGCTGATTTGAAGTGGTCCATTAGATGTCGGCATTTAAAGATGGTTTTTTATTGTTGGAATATACGTGGTTAAAATTCTTTGATATTAGTTAAGTCATAATTGGTAGTTAAATTCGGAATAAATAAAACTTCAATCTGTTAGTTAAATATTGTATCATTTATGTCATATAACATAAATATATTTTTTACAAGATTATTATGTATAAAATATTATTTTTTATTAGTGCATTAATACATATTATTGTATTAATATAATTTGATGTTTGAGTTAAAATTTTTTTAGTCAAAATGAGTGTTTTAGCTAGAGGAATCCATCAAATAATGAAAAGCTAGATCAAGGTAGTTAAATCCTATTTGGAGTATTTTAACTTACTTTGTTGAAAAAATATTGGTGGTCATAGAGACTATTCGGTGACTGATAACAACTAGTTGATATATTTTCAAGTATAAATAAGACTCTATTTACCGATAAAATCATCATTGATNATTTCTAATTATCATACCGGTCAGCTCAACTACGAGAAAAAAACCTCTTATTTTACAAGGATTGTGTAAAAAATATGATAAAAATTAAGTAATTTATTCATACAATACGTGTTTATTATGTCCAATTGGGGTCATCCATGTTTGAAACTAATTGACCCTTTTATTATTTGTTGTAGCAGGTGATTTTTTTTTTTTTTTGAGTCCTAACCCACTCATTTCGTGTCAGCTTCTTGTTATGTCAACTTGCCGTGTCAAAGATTGCTAACTTTCTGGGAGTAGATACTTGCAAGTGTTCAGGGTATCCATATGTAGANTTTTTTTTTTTGAGTCCTAACCCACTCATTTCGTGTCAGCTTCTTGTTATGTCAACTGTCAAAGATTGCTAACTTTCTGGGAGTAGATACTTGCAAGTGTTCAGGGTATCNGGTTAACTCTCCGTTCATCCAAATTATTAGATCCTTTATTCTCTCAAATTCTTTCATATTTTTTTGTTGGATAACTAGAATTTCTGCAAGATAGGGTCGTATTGAATTAATTCTTATTGAGTAAACTTTGAATATCTACNTGCAAGTGTTCAGGGTATCCATATGTAGAGCATGTGCTTTGATTGTTGTGGGGTGGGTGTAGGTACTTTCTGGTGAGAGCTGGGGAGTCTGAATTTGAGAGCATGGGGGTTATTAACACTAACCCAGTTACTAAAACCTCAGTGGATAGTGGCTTATCAGAGAAGGGAAAGAAGCAGACGGTGAAGGCAGCTTTGGCATTGAAGGCGATGGGGGCTTTTGAAGGGAACTGTTGGATTTGGCCTTCCATTACCCAGAGAGCTTACCAGGCTGCTGAGATTATTGCTGCTATCAATGGGGTTGATCGAAGGTACAAAAATTATTTCCAGACGCGGTCTACTTATTGAGTAGGGGATACGAAGTAGGAACAGTGGGTTTTCAACAGTTGCTAAATTTTTTGGACATGAAAGTTTGGACCATAAGTTTGGATTCATCAATAGTGCAATGTAGCAGCACATGTTATTGGTAGATCTTTTTTTTTTTTTCCCTCGTTTTATTGGTACATCATAGTATGATATTGTTCCATAATAATTGTACTCTCTCAGTTGTAGCATTTTAATTAAATATAATTTAATTACTGCACTTTTTTTTTTTTCTTATGTGGATCATAGTCGTATAGTTCCGGAATACAGCTTTCTGGATGCTCGTGGATTGGGAGCATATGAAGGCAAGAATTTAGAGTCTGTTTCGGAAGTAAGATTTCAATCTATCTTGCAATGTGGCAGTCCGTGATTTATTGTTGCTCTCAGACTTGTGTGTGTGGTTGAGAAGCTTGAAATTCTAGAATGAATATGTATCAGGTAGGTGTTTTTATAGATAGACTAGGGCTTGTGTGAGACTTTACTTCTCACTGCTTTCTTCAGCCCTTATGAGGGAATCCCATGTCACGAACTCACAATCCATCCACATAATGAAACTTTGCTTGTTTGAAAATGCCTAAGGTATATGCCTCAGATAGTCTTTCTTCAAATATCAAGCCGCCTCCAATTGATGATGGAACACCAAATGAAAGTGTTGCAGATGTATTTGTCCGCGTGACACAACTCATGTCAATTCTCGAGACCCAGTACTCTGAGGACACGGTCATTATTGTTTCACCAGATTCTGACAATTTGACAATCCTACAAGCTGGTTTAGTCGGACTTGACCTTCGAAGGTAAATGACTTCAACTGGTTTGGTCGATCTTGTTTTTATGGAACACTTCGAATCTTCACATGTGCAATTTTATATGATTTAGCCTTTGATAACTAATTCCTCTCATTTGTTTGCAGGCACAGCAATCTTTCTTTTGGTCCTGGTGAAGTCAGATTAGTCGATGCTAGTAGCATACCTACCTACAAGCAACCTGCATCTGCTATATATAAGTGTTTAAACCCACCAAGCTGTACATGAAATTATTCACAAACACATTACAGGGTCGAGGCAGATTTCTGTTTCTTTCATATTTTTTGGCATAAGGAATAGGTTAGGCAGTGAATGCGAATGAGCCATCTAACCCTTTTGTCGAGATGGTGAAGTTTATCTTCTCTGCCCAGGAAGTAAGCCTCTTATGCAGAACTATTACAAAGAAAGTATTTACTATTCTTCAATTATTGCTGTTCTTATTCTTCTTTGTACAATTTTCCTGTTTTTTATTTTTTAACTGCTGGGGTTGTGAATGACATCTAAAGGGCCATGGTGCTCCTATCATCAGATGGAAAATATTATGGAAAACATTATATAATGTGTTTCATGAATTGGAACATTAGAATTTTATTGAATAGATATGGGTAAACTTTCATACATTTGAGCATACATACCCAATGAATTTTCGTTTCCGATACTATGTATCCAAATTCTTTGTTAGAAGCCATCTTTTTTTGTTTTTGTTAGTTTGTTAAGATTATCGGCATTGTTGGCTATCTTCCTCCTTGAAAATGGGTTTTCACCTGTATTAGAAAGGAAGATGACTCCAATTTACCATTGCAGAGCTTGCCAAATACTATAGCTAGTGGGATAATCTCTTTTTCTAAGTAATTGTTGAGCAAAACAACAGTGTGCATGAGGACAGTTCAATCTCTCAATGTACTTTTCAAATATCTGGATCTAAATGAACCGGGGGCATTGGACTAGGCTGTGGACAATGTACCCTGCTGATTTGAAGTGGTCCATTAGATGTCGGCATTTAAAGATGGTTTTTTATTGTTGGAATATACGTGGTTAAAATTCTTTGATATTAGTTAAGTCATAATTGGTAGTTAAATTCGGAATAAATAAAACTTCAATCTGTTAGTTAAATATTGTATCATTTATGTCATATAACATAAATATATTTTTTACAAGATTATTATGTATAAAATATTATTTTTTATTAGTGCATTAATACATATTATTGTATTAATATAATTTGATGTTTGAGTTAAAATTTTTTTAGTCAAAATGAGTGTTTTAGCTAGAGGAATCCATCAAATAATGAAAAGCTAGATCAAGGTAGTTAAATCCTATTTGGAGTATTTTAACTTACTTTGTTGAAAAAATATTGGTGGTCATAGAGACTATTCGGTGACTGATAACAACTAGTTGATATATTTTCAAGTATAAATAAGACTCTATTTACCGATAAAATCATCATTGATAAACACTAAATTGAGCGAAAATTCATTAGGGGTGCAATCCCAATTTCATTGTATTCATATTAAAGAGAGTATTCAACTTTTAAAGGTTAACTCTCCGTTCATCCAAATTATTAGATCCTTTATTCTCTCAAATTCTTTCATATTTTTTTGTTGGATAACTAGAATTTCTGCAAGATAGGGTCGTATTGAATTAATTCTTATTGAGTAAACTTTGAATATCTACAATAACGACGATGAAGAGTCGAATCCAAATTTCAAAACATTAAATGCAACCCAATTCCTCGAAAGTTAAATTCTAAAGAATTAGTTAAAAAATTTGATGAAAAAGTCGAGTTCAAACTAAGTCTAGTGCACGCATCCTTACTTCTTTCCAGAAACTTTATTCATATTAATTCTCTCACGATTGGTGGAAACTTTTAGATAAAGTGGTTAATAAACCATTCAAGTGGTGATCGAGCTGGAGGTGGCTTCATTGTGTACCAAATTCTTAACTAATGCTAAAATTATATATATTCGTGGGTCAACGATCAAATTGTCTGAATTAAGTTACACGTATTACAACTAATTTTTTATTTGATCCAGTTAAAGGCATGTCTTCTATGTCCGGATTAAAATATTTAATAAAGAATAAATCTCTCGTGATCTAAACCTAAGAAATTGTCAAGATTTAAACTATCATAACTGTTGAAATTGGATATAACGTCTAATTAATATAATTACATGAATTCTAAGATTTANGGATTCATCAATAGTGCAATGTAGCAGCACATGTTATTGGTAGATCTTTTTTTTTTTCCCCTCGTTTTATTGGTAGATCATAGTATGATATTGTTCCATAATAATTGTACTCTCTCAGTTGTAGCATTTTAATTAAATATAATTTAATTACTGCACTTTTTTTTTTTTCTTATGTGGATCATAGTCGTATAGTTCCGGAATACAGCTTTCTGGATGCTCGTGGATTGGGAGCATATGAAGGCAAGAATTTAGAGTCTGTTTCGGAAGTAAGATTTCAATCTATCTTGCAATGTGGCAGTCCGTGATTTATTGTTGCTCTCAGACTTGTGTGTGTGGTTGAGAAGCTTGAAATTCTAGAATGAATATGTATCAGGTAGGTGCTTTTATAGATAGACTAGGGCTTGTGTGAGACTTTACTTCTCACTGCTTTCTTCAGCCCTTATGAGGGAATCCCATGTCACGAACTCACGATCCATCCACATAATGAAACTTTGCTTGTTTGAAAATGCCTAAGGTATATGCCTCAGATAGTCTTTCTTCAAATATCAAGCCGCCTCCAATTGATGATGGAACACCAAATGAAAGTGTTGCAGATGTATTTGTCCGCGTGACACAACTCATGTCAATTCTCGAGACCCAGTACTCTGAGGACACGGTCATTATTGTTTCACCAGATTCTGACAATTTGACAATCCTACAAGCTGGTTTAGTCGGACTTGACCTTCGAAGGTAAATGACTTCAACTGGTTTGGTCGATCTTGTTTTTATGGAACACTTCGAATCTTCACATGTGCAATTTTATATGATTTAGCCTTTGATAACTAATTCCTCTCATTTGTTTGCAGGCACAGCAATCTTTCTTTTGGTCCTGGTGAAGTCAGATTAGTCGATGCTAGTAGCATACCTACCTACAAGCAACCTGCATCTGCTATATATAAGTGTTTAAACCCACCAAGCTGTACATGAAATTATTCACAAACACATTACAGGGTCGAGGCAGATTTCTGTTTCTTTCATATTTTTTGGCATAAGGAATAGGTTAGGCAGTGAATGCNTCTGCTATATATAAGTGTTTAAACCCACCAAGCTGTACATGAAATTATTCACAAACACATTACAGGCTCGAGGCAGATTTCTGTTTCTTTCATATTTTTTGGCATAAGGAATAGGTTAGGCAGTGAATGCGAATGAGCCATCTAACCCTTTTGTCGAGATGGTGAAGTTTATCTTCTCTGCCCAGGAAGTAAGCCTCTTATGCAGAACTATTACAAAGAAAGTATTTACTATTCTTCAATTATTGCTGTTCTTATTCTTCTTTGTACAATTTTCCTGTTTTTTATTTTTTAACTGCTGGGGTTGTGAATGACATCTAAAGGGCCATGGTGCTCCTACCATCAGATGGAAAATATTATGGAAAACATTATATAATGTGTTTCATGAATTGGAACATTAGAATTTTATTGAATAGATATGGGTAAACTTTCATACATTTGAGCATACATACCCAATGAATTTTCGTTTCCGATACTATGTATCCAAATTCTTTGTTAGAAGCCATCTTTTTTTGTTTTTGTTAGTTTGTTAAGATTATCGGCATTGTTGGCTATCTTCCTCCTTGAAAATGGGTTTTCACCTGTATTAGAAAGGAAGATGACTCCAATTTACCATTGCAGAGCTTGCCAAATACTATAGCTAGTGGGATAATCTCTTTTTCTAAGTAATTGTTGAGCAAAACAACAGTGTGCATGNGTTAAAGTTCCGCCACCCGCATTAAGTTGTTTTTTGCTGCACATTCTTCACTTCATCGGTTCTCTCTCTCCACGGAGAAGCCTGCCTTTGTGTTCTTTACGAAAGCCTTTTATGTACATGTATTTCTCTCTCTAGATTCGTTGTATTTGTATGCTTCGTCTCGAATGAATCGGTTGTGCTATCATTTTCGAGTGTTTTCCATCACGAAATGAGAAACGAATCTTGGAGTGAAACTAAGGATTCGAAGTAGTAGTTCGTCTTCAATGGCGATCAGAGGCTTAGATTTCAAGTGGTGAGTGTCTTGAATCTTTTCTGGGAAATGTTGATTTTTGTCTGTGCATTTTTATATCTTTGGAAATATATGCATCTGGATGTACAATTTTTGTAATTTGTTTTCAGTGAATCGAAGGAGTGAGTTTCAATTTCGGTTCTTGCAGGTACGATGGGTTTTTCTTGTCAATGCTGGCGATGAGTATGTATCCTTTGAACGTTAAGCTTCATTGTTTAATTTTCTTCCGTTGTGGTTTTTCTTCTTGTTTTGTTTGTTTAATCTGATTCTTTTAAATGACCGGACAAAATGGCTTCTTTAACCGTATGATTATTAGAATAATTGTTGCCATCAATTGGAAGAGGTACCATCTTTGTACATACCCATTGCACATATGGATCGTGGTGAGTATTATCTGTCCGTCAAGTGACAAATTGGGATCTACTCGAACCGTGCTTCTTATGCTACTTTGCCAAATGTGTAATCTAAGTATGTGTATTTTTCTGTTGGATCAGGTTGACTACACGACAGTGTTCATTTTTAGGCTTTTGATGTTTGTGGATAATGGTCTTGCTGCGGGAATGGGATTGTAAGGCCTCAAATGTTAAGCTATTACTGGCTATTTTTAATTTGACAAGGAAATTCAAATGATACTTTGGAGAATTCACTGTCATGTTTTACTTGATTATGTGTGCTTCATCAAGAATTTGCATTCGGTTTGTGATATTTTTACGCTACATTTAGTTGGTTATGAGGTTTCTACAATAGTTTTTGTGAATATTATATCTGACTTAATAGTGGAGGAAAATTTTGTTGATTACATCATTCATTTATAGTTCAGATCATTTTTTTTTAATATTCTGTCCTTGGTAGGTTTTTGAATCTTTCCTTTCCAATACTGATGTTTGCAATTTTGATCTCGAACCTTCTTATGGAATGATTGTATAGATGTGCAGCTTGCTTCTTGATTAAGTTAGAACAAGGCATTCTAACAAAAATTGTGCATATTCGGTTATCTTATCTTCAAATTCATATGGTTGTAGAGATTTTGGGTGGCAACAGAGGTATGCTCGTTTTTGTGGAAGAATGGTGGTTCTTTCAATTCTTTCTCTGCTACTTTATCCTTTTCTTTGGGCTTGGACTATTATTGGTACCTTATGGTTCACTAATGCCAGAAACTGCGTGAGTTTTTCATTTCTTTCTTTCTTCCTTACCTTTTTATTTTCCCAGTTTCAGAGGAGGGGTGATGTAAGCTAAAATTGGACTTACACTGGAGTTGATTTTTTTGAATGCTTGCAGTTGCCTGAAGAAGGTCAGAAATGGGGTTTCCTTATTTGGTTACTTTTCAGCTACTGTGGACTCCTTTGCATTGCCTGCATCTCTATGGGGAAGGTAAACATTTTACAACCCTGTCTCCTCAAACAAAACATGATAGCCTCTTTCTCCTTGGAATTAGGATATATTGCTTTGATCTGGTGTTTATGTAGCTATATAATAGTTTTAAACCATTTTGTTTTTCATAATCACCAAATATATATCCTGTTCATCATTTTATCGTTTAACTTCTCTTTTTCAGTGGTTAACACGAAGGCAGGCACATTCACTACGTGCACAGCAGGGGATTCCAACTTCGGAATATGGGGTACGCTGATTTATTCCACCATTAACTTTTCTTTTAATTTTCAATGCCCAAATTATAGGTCTCTGTATAAACATCAAGATTTATTCCTTGTTACTCTTAAATTATTGTTTAAGGCATAGTTTCTTATTAATGCAATGCAAAAAGAATTACAAACGAATCGAAAAGATAACAATAAACAAATTGAAGTTGTTATCCAGACCAATTTGCCATACATTCTTTGTAAAAGTGACTCCAAATGATTACATCTCTGGCTAATACTGCTCTTGCAAATAAATACAGGAAGTCCATCTTTTTGAATGTTTATGCTGTGTTTGCGTTTTTGCATTTTTGTTTAAAGGCCATATATTTGCAAAGTGTCTTTCTATGTTAAATCACAATCTCATTCAAAAGTTTAAGAATTTTAAAAAGGGTGTTATATAAGTTTTCTTTTATTTATTTCAACGCGATTCCTCTCGTTGGGGCCAGATTTTGGGTCATGCACGGGCAAGTATTATAAATTGTAATCATGAAGTAACGTCAACATTCAAGCCCTTCTACTATAAAAGCATGCTCAATTTTCAACTCATCTCAAAGCTTTTAAGTTGTTGGAGAAGTTATCCCGTGCAGGCCATATTTTGGGGCCTAAGCATATTAAAATCTCATAATTATCAAGTTGGCGGCAAAATTTGAACACGTTACCTCCTGCTTTATTATTATGTTAAACTACCGGCCCATCTAAAATTTTAAGCTTTTAAACAGGATGATACATGAATACCTTTTTACGTCAACATTTTTAAGTTGTGTATCCTAGCCTCAACACTTTGAGGAGAAATTGGTTAAAAACCATGGAATGGTATGTTTTACTTTCTTTATGCCACTTGGAAAGAAAGAGGGTTCTTGAAGTGGATTAATTTTATCAAAGATTTTATGAATGCCCAGGAATAAATGTTCTTGTAACATTCTTTTTCCGATCGGAAGTCCTATTAAATCCTTTTTGACTTCTCTTTATGCCTATCCTTACATCAGTGGAATAGCTTCTTGTAAATTATCTTCATTGGCAATTGCTAAGGTGAAAGTTTAATTGTATGCATTGGGTCTGCTTGACGATACTGAAAAATCCACGACCTACAATTTTCTCACCCTGAAAAGTGGCCCAGCACAGTGTTACTTGGATCGTGGGTCGCTTTGGTAGGCAATACGGGTGTGAGTACGCGATAAGACACTTTCTTAGATGCGCGGTACGATGAGGGTAGACTTAGCTAGTATGATTTTTTGGATAATAATTCATTTTATAACTCTTATGTAGATTGTTTTTACCACTATACAAAATTATATATCATAGAACATCCATAAACATTAAGTCAATTACTATTTATCTTATATTTGTGTTTGCTTTTTATTATCTAAAATAATATATAATTATAAATTTATATACACGTAGTTAATATGTATTTTATATTTGTGCTACATGTACAATTCGGGATCGTACTTTTTGGTGAACTAGATCACGAACCTACCCAGTTTGGGATCGATGTACGCAGATCGTGGGTCGTCACGAATTTAGTGAATTCTGGTAATTCTGGCCTAGCATAGGAAAACTAGGTCACCTTCGAAAGTGTGTAGAGTTCATTTTAGAGTCTTTGTCACTGGTTAGTTTGTTTGAATATTTCATCTAGTTTGACTGGCAATAATAAAATGTACACCATATCTGGAAATTTTAGCCCCCCGGTTTGCATCTGACTGAAACATAATGATTTTTAACTCTCTACTATATGCCAATGCCAGGAGCATATTCTTTGCAACATTTGCTTATCGGATGTGTTGTATGGGCTTTGGTAGTTAGATTTTTGTGTTTCTTTTTCCTTCTCCCCTCCAACCATGTTTTGTTGTAGCGTCCTATGAATGAATGGAGTGGATTATTATTCTTTTTGTTTTAAACTTCCTGTCAAAGGATTTTTAAGTAGTAGGTGTATGCTGAGCCAGAATGATACTCCCACTCCCAGTGTTAGGATGGTTATATGTGCAAACTATCCAGTGGATGGAAGGGTAGTTTCCAGTGGAGCAGCGTTAAAAGTGCAGTACTCATATTTGGTAAATGGGCCAAAGATCACATGGTGTTTTGTTCATAGCTTCTGGATGGTAGTGAGCCTCATAGTAAGATTTGCCTCTAGATAAAAATGGCATTTACATTGAATAAAAAACAGTGTTTGTAAGAATTTTACTTCTTTTATTCATTTGAAGTTCTTAAAATACTTAATATTGATGATGAACGTGCCACACTGTGGGCATGATAAGTTTGTCTAGTTTCCATTGAGGCTGGTGGCAGACAGTTAAAGTGGGACAGTAGGGTATAATATCTTTTGGTCTGCAATCAACCTACCTTTTGTTAGAAGTGTTGAATTCTATAATGGCATCTGAAAGAAGATGATCTGCACAGGTGAATTTAGTTACTTTAATAGGCCATGATTATGTGGTGGATCATAAATAACTTTGTCCAGGCTGGGAAAGGTAGGTTTCACAAGTAGGACAATCGAAAGAATGTGATAAAACATCTGATTAATAGTTCGATTGTGTTTTTTTTTTTCTGGTTATGTTTGTTAGGTGTTAAAATCTTCCATGCAAAATGAAGCTCAAACTAGTTTTTGTTATACTTATTTTTCTGTAGTTTGTGGAATGGGAAGCTGACTGTAATCATTTTTGATTTGTAATAGTACTGCAGATTGGAAATTTGGTTATTTGGTTTACACGCGCTGCTGTCTGATTTTCAGGTGTTGGTTGACATGATTCGGGTACCAGGTTGGGCTTTTGAAGCAGCTGGCCAAGAGATGAGAGGAATGGGCCAAGATGCTGCTGCATACCATCCAGGACTTTATTTGACCCCAACTCAGGTAACTGCTAATATACTATCAAGGGTTAGACCTGGTGCTCCAACTTTCATGTGTGGGTGTATTTAAATGCCCCATATTATGGTATCTCTCCCGGAATATCGTGCCCTAGCAGTTTGTTTGGACTGAAGCTTTGGTATCTATTAAGCACGCACAAACTGTTTATTATTATGGTGACATTGAGATTCAATTGTAGGACTTCTTCCTCTATTCTCATATTAAACAACCATTTCATCAAAAAGTTTACGCTGACAAAGAGGGTATAACAAGGATTTATATACTTTAACAGAATCGATTGAAAACTAGTAGAATATGCAGTTTATTAGTTGTGTTCCTATATCTACCCTTACTGTTCTCTTGCAATTAAACCACGTGGATTCAACATTACTATCTGTTTTATCAATTCCAAGTTTTAATGGGTGGGGTCTTGTTTTGGCATGCAGAGAGAAGCAGTTGAGGCGCTTATTCAGGAACTCCCAAAGTTCAGGCTGAAGGCAGTTCCTACTGATTGCAGTGAATGCCCTATCTGTTTGGAAGAGTTTCATGTGGGGAATGAGGTAAATACATCCTTAATCCATCATATAGTCTCCTTTGTTCATATAATCATCAAAATATTGCATTTCTACAGGTCATGTGATCCCATATTCTAGCTAGTTGAGAGATTGGCTACGTATATTCTTTTCTGCGGTTATATTAGATATAGTACCATTTTAAGGATGACACTTCAGAGGTTTGCATATTAAGTTTCTTGTCTAAACTTCATAGAGTTTCGACTGTGTCTAAAATATAAGGGCCTGTTTGGTTTGTGTTTCAAAAAATAGTATTCGAAAACAGTTTTTGAGAAGAGTTTTAAGAAAGTGGTTTTGATATTTTTTGAGATAAAAAACTTGTTTGATTAGATGATTTCAAAAATAATTTTACAATACAGAAAATAGTAAAACCTATTTGGACAACCTATATATATATTTGAACAGTAATTCAAACATTAATAAAAAAATATAAAATAGTTATTTTTATATTGACAATTTCATAATATATATATATATATATATATACCCGTATCTGAACATCCAAAATTGTTCTCCTTATTTCCAAAAATTTTAAAGAAAATTCTGAAAATAAGCTACACTTGTTTTCTATTTCTTTGACTCAAATCTCATTTTTTTCCAAAATTTAGAAAATAAAAATGCTAAACAAACAGGTTTTTGGTGTTTTTGAAATTTTGAGAACAAAAAATTATTTTGCAGAAGCTAACCAAACACGCCCCAAATCTTTCACCTATCTCGGGCTTTGGCACTGGTTAGTTGATGCAGAAATTGGAACACAGACTGATGGTTGTCACTTGTCAGGCAGCACCAGACGAAACCCTGTACAGTTAGAAGGAATAACTTTCTCCCTGAATTCCAAGAAAACCCTTTAATGCTTTGTGGCAGTGTTTTGGTGGCATGCCTGCTCAGATTTCTCCCTAAATGTGGTGCAGGTTCGTGGCCTGCCTTGTGCTCACAATTTCCATGTGGAATGCATTGATGAGTGGCTTGGGCTGAACGTGAAGTGCCCTCGATGCCGTTGCTCAGTCTTTCCAAACCTTGACCTTAGTGCCTTATCTAATATCCATGCTGATCCAGAGCGTTCATCTGCCAGTGTTGTGACGGCAACTCGGTATGTTAGAACACAACCTTCTAGCCAGAGCTACCTGTTGAGATTGCAGGGTTTGCTTCGACCAGTCCGCACAGAAAATGCAGGACCTGGCAATGATTCAGACATTGCTTTGGAAGCTGCTGAAAATGGAGGTCTTCCGGGGGCTACTCAGGACCGTGGAAGTGTAGAGCCCGGGCAAATACAGGCTGGACAGTCCTCCCCGCGACACTACTAAACTGTTTTTTTTTTTGTCATCTTACAGGTTTTTATTTGATCTCCTAACCACATGGGCGTAGAGAAACTCAATTTACTAACATCTTTCTCTGGCCATTGTTCAATGCTTGTACTAGTTTCCCGTTGCAATGAAAGAATTTACTGATTGATCAACTGCTCTATGGTTCCTGGACAAACTCTCTCTCTTTCTGGAGCACCGCAGCCAACATGCTTATTTGTTTCTAAGCAATTAGAAGAGCGTGGAATTTGACCAACCTCAAATAGATGGATTTGGCATTGATTGTGAAACCAAGCAGAGAGATTCGTCCAGCCCTCAGTAATAGATCTTGAATGAAGATGCATGTTATTGATTGCCAAGGTCTCTTGCTTAAATAAGTCTCAGGGACGTCTTTGGCATGACATTGAGAAAGGAAAGGGAAAGAAGGATTGAAGTAATGCGATCATGTTCCCAAACTAGTTGGAAAGGGAACAATTTAGGGTTCTTGTCTCGAAGTCTAATGTTTGACTCTCATAACATAGTCTTGACTTATAAGATGCGGGTGATTATGCCTACTACATGTCATGTTATAGCTACAAGTAGAGAAAATGTGTGATTGAGACAATTTTGTATTCTTTTTTTTTTAAAAAAAGAGAGCACTTCAAGGAATTCCATATTAGAAAAATCGCACCGTGATTAACTATGTCATTCTTAAATTCTCAAAAATCATTAGTGAATGGTGCAATGGGTAATAAAAGTTCAAGTTGTGAAATTGTCTGATTCACATCTAGTACTATAAAATTGACGTGTTTCATTGAAGTGTGGAGGTGGTAGAATGTGGCTTGAATTGTTGATTAATCCATGGTCAATTTGAGATGGGAGTTTGGAGAGCTCTCATGAAAACATCAACATAATGGAAGTGGGGCTCAAAGGATGAAACATCCACATAGTTCTGCATGTGGCCCCCATAGAACTAGTGGTTTTCGTCCAATTAATTTGTGTCCATTCATTCCATAAGAGAACGTAAGTTGTACTTGGCTTTAGCAAAGTGATGGGATATAGTGTTTCATCACCGACACGCATTCTCGGCCTCGAGAAATTTTTCTTGTCTCTGTCGAGACTACGTGTTCTAGGTTCCAAGACTCCTTGTTCTAATTGGTATATTCCTTGGCTCAGAGGCGTGTTCCCTCAATTCTGAGGTACCCTCCACACTGGGGCGAGCCAAATGTCCTCGGTCTCGAGGGTACTCACACTCTGATCCCTCAAATATTAATCTTCGACTTCTGAGAAGACTAGTGACTGACAACTGAATAGTCTAAGATAGACTAAAAACTATGATGACACTCTCCTCAATGGAAGTCAAAATGATATAATGAATTGAACACTCAATCCAAAGGAATCAGACGCATGGCATAAAATATAGGATGAAGAGTAAGAAGACAGATTTACCTTTGCTGATATGAGACTATTCTGGGCAAGCATTAATGAATCTCAAATGATGTGACATCTACAGTGACTTGAGAAGCCGAGGATAGGAGGTATGATATACCCTGGGCTCTTGCATTTAAAATTTTTTTATCGAAAAAGAGCATTAACTACTTGGGAGCTCAGACAATTAATACCAAGACATTCTTCACGCAAAATAGCAAGCACACAGTCCCATCTTTGAAGGCTACTTACTACCTAGACTACCAGTAATTATGAGTCTTTGAAGGCATAAATAGTTATAAAAAACACAATACAAAGATACGCAAAATCACTCTTCAAGAGTTATATAGAGTTTTTTGCTTCCTCTTTATCAACGAACTGAATCCCCTGCAGCTCACCGGAACCGGTCAAACAGTCGTTGAGATAATTCATCACCACTCCTTAGACTTCTTTGACCATATATCATCCTCCTTTGTCTTGGGATCGTTGAATTTCTTGACGAATACAAGTTTACCGCGAGAGATATCTATCATTTATCTATATTATGCAAAAATCACCACGCACACGAAGCTTCCTCCATTTGTAGCAATGCAAAACAAATATAAACTAAAGAAAATGCGAAAATTTGTGAACACAGATAGTAAATATTTAATGAAATGATGACATCATGTTATTATTGTTGCATGATGTCGTTGTTCAATTAAAAAATTATAAGTGGACAAAGTAAATCTCAATACTTTCATAACTATGAGAAATTACAACATATAAGATTATTCACTTTCTCTATTTAGTAAATTACGTATATAACCTTGAAATTATGATTTTTATGTTAATTAAGTTCTTAATTTTTTTTTTTGTATGAATTGAGTCACTTAAAATTTTAATTGTACAAATTGAACCCTTTGTTGTTGAACGGGTTTGAACCGATTTTATAAAATTTATTTTTTAAATAAATTAAAAAAATTATTCAAATTTAACTCTTTTTCCAAATCAATAAAATCGAGTTGACCTCCAAAACGACTAAAATCCAAACTGAACTCAGGAAACTCTGATCGTTTACCCGCCCAGCCCGATGTTCTAAACTATGGTTAAATTCAAAAATATATTATTTTTTGCTAAAAAAGTAATAAAAAAAAGGACTGACTGTTTTGAAATGTAGATGGGAAAGTGGGACCCACATGATTGGGACGTGAAATGCACTGCACACAGGTTTATCTGGCGATACTATCCAGAAACCATAGTTCAAAGGTCTGGGTCGCACGGCTAAAGATATACCGGAGGTTGAAGGCGCCCATAGACAGAGAAACAGAGGAAGAGGGAGAGAGAGATGGCGGTGGCCAACGCTTGGGCCACGGGACACTCTACAGTCCCGATGACCCCATACAGACCCTCCCACTCTTCTTCTTCTTCTTCTTCTTCTTCTTCGTCTTCTTTTGATTGCTCCATTGCCAAGAAATCTGCTAATTTCCCCAAACGACCACATCTTAGAACCCGAAAGAGTTACAAGCTTTCTTGCCGTTACAGCTCAATAGCTAGTAACAATGGCAATACCCAAAATAATTCTTCTTCGGAGTGGGATTGGAATCGGTGGACCCGCCATTTCTCTGAAATTGAACAAGCCGAGAGCTTTGCTTCAGTTCTTAAGGTGCTACATCTCACCTCTCTCTTTCAATCTAAATGCATATATGTTTTATTTATAGGTCTGCTCGCACTTAATATGTATCAAATGGGTTTGTAATATATTGTGCTCAATTTGTAAATTTGTTGATTTTTTTTTTGATATCTCGTAGTTTCTGACGGTACCCATTTCAGTATTTGTCCCTCTGTGTGTCTGAATATGTCGTTGGATTTATATGATTGTTGTTTTAAGGTTCTTACTCTAGTTTCTGAAGTTGGTGTAGGTGATTATTATATGGTGATTTCTTGCACTTGATTTGTTCTGCATACTTAATATTTGTTGTGCGTAGTGATTCACTCAAGCAATTACCAATTTCAGGAACAGAAAGCGAAATAATTATGCGTTTTTGTGTATTGGGACAGTGTCTCAACAAAATTTGAAATGGCAAGCACTAGTAGTCATTTAAACTACCAAAACTATTCTTGGATGAACTACATATGATTCAGTTTATCGCTATAAGTAAAAAAACCTTTACCAAATTTCATAAGTCAACCAACATAATTACTAAACACTTCCCTTTTCTTTCAACATCAAATCCTAGAATACTTGTTGGGAAGGGGAAAAGAGCATAGCTTGAGTTCCCCTATAAAAGAGTCAGGCATCTTTTGGAATTGCCGAAAGATAAAAGAAGAGGGGTCTTAGTAGTCTTGTACTTGCATGCTAAAGTTCAAACGTTCATATTTATACATATTGTTGATCTTAAGAAGCTCAGTTTGTGATCCGATGCAAAGATAAAGAAGTAAGTCAAATTGGGACAGGGTTCCCAACCTTTTTGGACAAAATTAGTTAATGGTGTTTGTGGGCAAAATATTCTGAACTCAGAACATATTTTCGGGTGGCATTGGTTAATATTTTGACATTTTTGCTATTGAAGTGATTATATAGAACCGAGGTCTTATTCTCAACTTAAAATAGAGCTTCCAGTGACTATGCTTATAAATTGAGTTACTTTTGGTACTGAAGTGTTTCCAGACGTGATTCATCTTTTCTGCTTCTGATGTAATCTAGAGTGTGGTGGGAGTTAGTGTGACTGGTAATGGGGATACATATAGAGTCGACCCCTCTCCCTATTTTCCATCTGTGTAGATTCATGTTGGCTCTCTTCCATATGTGTATTCCTCATGCTTTGTGGTTATCGTGATGTATGATCACATAAAGGGGAAGTTGGTCAATATCTTCATCTTTCTTGCGATCAATTTAATGGTATGAATAGATCCTTATATATGACTAATAATTTTAGGAATGCTGAACTTCGTGGAAATTTTTTAACCAAAAATAAGCGTTTCTAAAAATCATGACACTCTTTGTTGTTTTTTCATCTTTTATTCGTTGAATATGTAAATTGTGACAAGGATGGAGCTTTGATAAATTTGCATTTTAAGATTATTGAACACCCTTTATAGATATTAGCTAATAGTTATCCATGTGTTTGAACTAATAGGAAGGATGCAAAGGAGATGGTGCACGTTGCTTGCTGGATATATAATGCAATAGCATTCATTCCATGCAACTAGGGAGTACATAGGTCAATTGCTATTGATCTCTCTTGCTCCAGCATGTAGACCATAGAAATGTCAAGGTCATTTGGCTTAATTGCATAAATTCAGGTCTCACTTAAGTCTATGTATATGGCACAGTTATTGGTAGATGCATGGACTGAAAATCCAACCTCCAACCATGAGACACATGCAGTAGCGTTCTAGGGTGGCATAGTTGTTGGTAGACACTTGGACTAAAAATTCAATCTCCAACCATAAGACACATATGAAGTAGCATTCTAGACAGAGTTGTCGCAGGCTTAGACATCTTTGCTACACTCAAGTTTTACACAGTATCTCAGGTTTGAGAAACACAATCAGGCTGATTTTGGTGTCGGTCATTACTCAGTGGTATAAATAGGCTCGGTGCAATATTGGCTAATGAGGTGATCCATTGAGGAACTAGGAATAGAATTCATGCTATAGTCCTCTTTGAGTGGCTTGACTTACATGGAGATTGATGAAGTTTTGTGTATTGGCAACCAGAATTAAGGATTTTGTAATTTTTGTAAGTTATTGGGGCTCGAGCTAGTCATGTTGTGAACAGCTTCAATATGCCTGCACCAACATTGATATCATCACCATGGTGCTACAATCTAAGACTGACACACATGGCATGCAAGCGACAAAATCTGGTAGCAGTCTTGGGCAGCCTCAATGTGCATGATTAATTAACCTGACTGCAAATTTTCCTATAAAGAGGGGTTCTTATCCTTCCTAAAACAACAAAATTCCTCTACTAAAAGCCCTAATGGGGAGGACACATTGTTGTAGCCTAGACCATTGCAAGGGCAACCCTTCCACACTCTCCATTCATCCCCATGGCATTGCTGTGATGTGAATCTTTCCGATGTTCTCAGATTGATGACTGACCTACACGGAGAACCCTCAAAATTATTGTCATCATTATGCATGAGTACCACAGATCCTCACTCGTTTAAATTGATCAATAAACCTAATCTGAGAGTAATAAAGAATGATTCTATGTCCTTCAGATTCCACCATGTCGTTGATACATATGATATATCGCCATCTAAAGGCTGTTGGCTCAGACATTCTGCTATGGAGCCCCATCTTAGTACCATCTATTGTTCATTATGTCTAGATTTTTCCCAATTTTGGGAGATCTATGACCTTCTGACCAGCCAATTATTGATCTTTTTGTGCTGCAATAATATGGCAAATATAACTTGTAATTCTTTTGTAAAGTCTAGTTGCCATAAGGCCATAACTATAAGCTTATGTTTAGTTGTATTCCCTCGTCCGTTTTTTCATTTCACCAAGCAAAAGCTAGGAGTATTTCTGATTCCTCCATGAGCACTATTGTCCATGTTAATTTTTGCACTGAAGATTTTGTAGCTTTTCCAACATCTGTGTATTGTGTTTCTCAGAACTCTGCTCATTATGGTGCTCAAGTAGATGTTATCTTGATTCTTGGATAGTCTAAAATAACTGTTCAGTTGAACATATGTGGATATAGGGTCTTTCTAACTGAAACCCACACTTATTCTGAGCTGGGTAACGAGGGGAAGGAGAGAAAGTTCCTCATCATTATATGAGTTGTATCTTTCTTTCTGACGTGCTGCTGTGCTTTGCAGTTTCAACTAGAGGATGCAATAGAAAAGGAAGACTTCCAGGAAGCTGCAAAGTTGAAAACAGCAATTGCAGAAGCCACATCAAAGGACAGTGTTGCTGAAATTATGTCTCAGTTAAAGGTTGGATTATTAGTCGAATGATTTGTAGTGATATGGCCCTGCGTATGAGATTTTGGCTCTGATTCTTTTTAGTTCCTTGCAGGATGCAATAGATGAAGAGTGTTACCTTGAGGCTTCAAGGTTGTGCAGAAGTACTGGAAGTGGGCTGGTAATTTTTTGTAGCTTGTACATTATCTTCAATAGTCTTTGGGCGTGCTCCCTAATTTATCCTCCCTGTCAGAAAGGGTAGATTGTGGATGACCATTAAGTGTTTTTTTTTTCTTGATTACGTGGTTGTTGCTGTTCTTGTTTCTAGCTTCTAGTACTTTTCTAAAATTTTTCCAATAAGAAAAGGTTATAGCAAAAAGTCATAGGACAGTCTCTGGAAAGAGAATTCTTTGTTTGTTTTTCACAAGAAATATCAGGTTACACCCCCTTCAGCCAGTCAACCCTATCTCGGGTTGGGCGGGTTGGACAGTCAACCCTAGGTATCTAATGTTCAACCCTAACCCTACCTCGGGTTGATAAACTCAATCCAAGCATTGCCGAAGTTTAATTCGGGCGAGCTTGGGTTGAATTCGGGCTCAATTCGGGTTATTTTATGGGCTGAATTCAGGTTAATGTTCTAAACCTGATACATATATTACATAATATTCAAATAATTTAACAACCAACAACTTCAAATATAACACAAATATATTACATAATTTAACAACCAACAACCAATTTGTAAAATAAATAGAACACAAATGAAGCAAAACATAGTCCATAAGCATAAGCAAAACAGAACACTGCTGGCAGTGCAAAACCAGTCCACTGCTATCACAGCACAACCACTGTTATCCATGAAGCAAAACAAATGACTCTTCAACACCCGAACTTGCACTATCATCTACGAACTCTACAAAATAGAAAAGTGCAAGAGCTTTAAAAAAGACAAATATATCATTATAAATAGAATATGACAATATGTTACAAACATACTTTTATCCATCTCTTCCATATCTTCTAGCTTTTCTTCCATTTTAACGGTGGATGAATAGCTCCTTAGCCAATCTTGGGTACAAATCAAACTCTCAACAATCTTTGGAGTTAAAAAACTACGAAATGGATCAAACACACGACCTCCCGTGCTAAAAGCGGACTCCAAAGCCACGGTTGATATAAGAATTGCAAAAATATCACGTGCCATGTGAGAAAGCACACGATATGAAGAGCTTTTTTCTTTCCACCATTTCAAAATATTGAAAGTTTGTCTTGATCCATTCCCAAACTCAACGGCATCGTCCAAGTAACGTTCTAACTTCAATTTAAGGACTTTGGTTTGCTCAATTTCTAAGAACTTATCCCAATCCACTACATCATCATCAAATACAACATTTGGATCATCTGAAATATCTGTTTCAACATTAATGCCTTCTTTTGACGCATCATCATTCTTTAATGAAGCTAATTCAACCGATGAGTAGTGTTTATACAATTTATCCACACGACTTGCAACTTTTCAATCAACTCATCAACCTCATCACGAGTATAAACTTTGGAAAGTTTATATCTCAAAAATGTCAGCTTGTAACAAGGATCCAAAACTACCGCAATAAGCAACAATGGATTAATTTTGTCATGATCACAATACTTCTTAAATTTCAACATCATTTTTCTTGTCATCTCACGAAAGAATACATTCTCACTACTCAAGGATTTATGTAATAATACATGGATTCTCATCATTTCATGAAAATAAATATTAGCAGTGACATATTGTGACCCTGACACATGCTTTGTAACAAGATAAAATTGTTGCAAAAATTTATGCATTTACTGTCAACCAATCATCATCAGTAGGAGTCTCATTCTTAAGTTCAAGTGTAAAACTTCTATCTTGCTCTTCCAACCAATCAAAAGTTTTTTGGTACTCAAGAGCGCTGTCAAGCATATAAAAAGTAGAATTCCACCGTGTTGGCACTTCTAAACACAAAGATTTCTTGTATGAAATTTTTTCAATATCCACACATTTTCTAAACAGTTGATAGTGGGAAGGGGAACTCCTAACATATTTCACACCATCATGAATGCGAACAATAGCACTATTAACTTCATCAATTCCATCCTTCACAATTAAATTCAAAACATGCCCAAAACACCTAACATGAAGCATAATCTCATCTAACAACAATCCATTGCGTTTAGTCAACCTCTTTTTCCAAGACTGCGACATCATTAGAACTTGCATTATCTACAGTCAATGTATTCAGTTTATCAATCCCCCACCCCAATAAACAAGTCTCCACAAATTGTGCAATAATTTCACCACGATGTCGGGTTGGAAGCACACGGAAATTGATGATTCTCTTTTGTAAAATTCATTCTTTATCAATGTAATGCACGGTGAGATAAATATACCCAAGGTTTTGAATGGAAGTTCACAAATCAGTGGTGAGACAAACACGTGATGCAGAGGATTCAAAGATCAATCTCAATTTTTTCCTTTCAGTTTCATAAAAATTGATGCAATCTTTGGTAATTGTAGTTCTTGACACCAAATTAAACCTTGGTTGCAATACATTAAGAACCCTTTTAAAACCTTCTTTCTCCACAACACTAAAAGGCATTTTATCAGTAATTATCATTCGAGCAACCTCTTTCCGGACAACTTCTTGGTCAAATTTCTAATTACTAATATTACTACTAGGACCTCTTGCAGATAAAAAGTTAATCAATGTTTGAGTAGGGTCTTTATTCTTTTTACATTTCAGACACTTGAATTAGTGTCGCCGAATTATACTAGTTCCTTGTGAACTATTATAATGAAAAGTCTTTTTGCAATGGTTGCATTGTACTTGATCAGGTTTTGATCTATCTTCTTTTTTAATTTTCGTGAAATCAAGCCAAACATCAGACTTTTCAACATAAGTTTTTCGGTGTTTGGGACTTATCGAGTTCCCCTCATCAGGGTTTGCAGAAGCAGGCTTAGATGCAAGATTAACCACAGATTCAACATTTGTCTCCGTCTCCCCCATTAGTGACATGTATTGATTTACTATCCCATAAAATTAAAGAACAGAAAAATGATCAAATTATGCAGCTAAAGATTTTCCACTGCAGCAAGCAGGCAAGACTTAATTCAAAAGAGGTCTAAAAATTAACTCAAAAAATGTGAAAATAAAAATGAAAATTGCATACTTGAGTAGATCTGCTAAGAACGAAGGAGGCGCAGTCTGATCTGCTCTGAGAGAGAGAGAGGCGAAGACGACTGAGAGTGAGAGTGCTGATCTGAGAGTGAGAGTGAGAGACTGAGAGACCGAGAGATAGGTCTGATCTGAGGATGAGACCGAGGGAGATCGAGAGATCGAGAGACAGGTGAGAGTGAGAGAGTGAGAAACCGTGAGAGACTGAGAGTGAGTGAGGTTCGCAGTAGACTTGGAAAATCAGATTAACTTAGGGCAAATTATAACTTTGTATTTATATAACACTAATTTGGGTTGAGCCCGAATTTAATATTTGGGTTCAACTAGTGAACCTGAGGGGTCAACCCGAAACCCGTCCAAATTGAATTCGGGTTGATGTTTTTTGACCCAAGCCCAACCCAGGTATTAAAAACCCTTGTCCAAGCCCAAATTTTTTTGGGTTGAGCTCGGGTTGAAATCGGGTTGTCTAACCCAAGTTGCAGCCCTAGTATGAGTATACCAACATCCCATTTTCAGTAAAAGCTTAGTCATAGTAAACAGATAGTGTGACCATCAGTTTACTAGAAAATGACCACTGGATCTTTTTGAATCATCATGAGAAAAGAAGTTGGGATCATCTATCTTACATCAAATGACAGGTTAGTAGGAGATTGAAAAGAAAAGATTATGACTATAGTTTTATATGTTGCTGGAGTTTGATTAGAAATGCGGAAGCAATGAGTGAGTTCTTACACCTATAGTCTTCATCCACAAGTAATGAAATATATACTAGCGTTAGCTTCAATACAAGTTTTACATGTGCAAACACAATATTTTATCACACTTGTAGTGGTGATGCAGAGCTGTGTTCATAGATTAAGGATTGGTTTTAACTACTAAACAAGATAAAGGGATAGAAAATGAAGAAAAAATAGAGAAAACAGGACCTGTATATAATAATATTTCTCTGTTAAGGCTGAGAAAGCAAGAGACAAGCCGCTGATGGAAGTACTTTTGCTCTTTGTACAATGCTTGTTCCTTGTACCAAAATTCATTTTTGTTTCTCCCTTCATTTGAGTTGAAAATGTGAGTGCCAGAAGGGAAAACTTTAGTTTCTATTCGCCTGTGGAAACAGAAAGTGGAAAGGGACTGTTTTTATCCGTATCTATTTATTCTCTATATTTTTGTTGGATGCAATAACCCACTTATGTTAGTTAAATCTTTTCTATTCCTCCAATTTTGCAGGTTGGTTGGTGGGTGGGCTATTCAAAAGATTCCGATGATCCCTTTGGCAGACTAATACGTATAGATCCTGGCATGGGCAGATTTGTTGGCAGAAGCTATAGTCCAAGGTATTATCTATGCTATGTAGAAAGCAAATCCAGCCTCCTACTTTCTGGAACAGCTGGGTTCTTGGTATTTCACAAAATGCCAGGGATTGGGGTGCGTTTGGAATAGAGAGAATTTTTTTTTTTTTTTGGGGGGGGGGGGGGATTGGGGAGGAGGTAGTTGTTTAATAAATTATAGAAAGAACTAAGAAAGTTCATGCGCATATGTGCGGGGCACTCTTCCTGTTAAATTAAAAAAAAAAAAAAAACACTGGGTGGTCTGGTGGTTGAGAAGTCATTCAGGTTTGAGTCTTCCGAGCGATGGGGTAATGATTTTTGACCAGTTATAGTTCTGCTCCTAAGCTGACACTATTGTACATTGGTGGGTCTGGTGTCAAGATATGGCTTAACTGGCTTGAGGGAGTGTCTGTGATTTCCTCCGTCTAGGCCCCTCTTATGATTGGTTTCCTCGTGGGGAGGGGTTCCTATGGTCAAGCCTGGTAGGGTCTTCAATGACTGGTTGTCATCTCCTACCTTTTTTAGACAGCAAAAAAAGTAGATAATAAATACAGCTACTAATTTCCTGCTTTTGATTTATTTATAATCTCCGGAAACATCAATATTGATTGTTTATTGCAGGCAGTTGGTCACTGCATCTCCTGGAACTCCATTCTTTGAAATTTTTGTGGTCAAAGATGTCGATGACAGCTACACTATGCAGGTGATGTGCAAATGCTTTTTATCTTCTCTTTAAGACAGCTGAAAACTTTCTGAATGTGAGTTGACTGGCTTATCCATTATTGAGTTTGACCAGGCCTTGGTCAGTGTAATCATGGAATCAATAGACTAAGTATCTTTCTTACAGGTTCTGTTTCTGCAAACAAAGCAAGCACATGTCGTGCACGCATGTACATGCATCGAATGCCATTGTTCTCTGAATCATGGTGCAATGCCTCTATTTATTAATTACTTCCGAAAATTAAGGCTGTGAGTTAATATGTGTGAAAGAGGAGGTCTGTGAGTTTCACATATATGGAGAACTAGGGGTGTCAAACGTGTCGGGTTAAACGGGTGACGGGTGAAAAATATATAAACCCGTACACGACACGTTTAATAAATGGGTAAAAAATCTCAACAAATACGAGCCGTTTAATAAAAAGATAACACGACACGACTTGTTTAACCCATTTAATTTTAAAAAAATTATATTAACAAATTTTAATACTCAATTTTTTTTTTATTGTCAATTGCACTTACCTCAAAAAAGAAGAATTTTTAGTCAAATCTCATAAAATAAGATTTGAAGGCTTAAAAAAAAGGCTAGAGGCCATTGCTTTTTATAGGTAACTCAATCCTCCCCATCTCCCCTCATTTCCAATGTGGGACAAAAACAAAAGGCATTGATTTGCCTTTGTCTTTGAAGTGCTCCTCATCTCTTCTCTTTTGTCTTTGAACTACTACTTTACTTTTTTTTTTTATTGATTTTTTTATTTTTTTTTCTTGCTAATTTTTTAAAACAATTATTAATTTATTATTATATTAATTTCATTTAAACGGGTAAACGTGTGATAAACGGTTTGACAGGTCTCACCCGAACACGACCCGTTTATTAAACGTGTTTGGCGTGTCAACCTGTTTATCACCTAAACCCGCTTAATTCGTGTCGGTTAATCATGTCATGTCGAATTTTGACAGCCCTATGGAGAACCATGACTGGGTTCTTGAAAAGACTTTTTGCAGATGGCACTTATTCTGGTATTTGGTCCTTTTAATAGTCCGAGCTTGAGAACTTGAGAAGGCTGATGCAATATGCAACCTTGCAGTGCATATTACTAGAGCCTCTCCCTATCTAGACATGGAATGTAAGGAGCTGGCCCAACCTGACCTTGACCGATGGATTATTACTCATATGAAGCATAGCACCTGAATCAAAGACCCAAATAGGCTGAGATATACCTGAAGGTGTTTTCATACATTCATTAGTATATTTTCTTCAACCAAGTCTGCTCAAGCTGAGATGGGATCTATCATTGCCTTTTTTCATAATCTAGGTGGACCTTGATGTATTGGCCTACGTCTTTTTGGGAACCAGGATGGTGTTTCCTTCATGTTGATATAACTACTGAAAATGTAGTAGTTTTTTTGTGTGTAAATTTAGTCATGCTTTTGAATTTGAACAATTGCGAAGGGCTTGGTTACGGGTTTGGCTATTGTTCTACCACAAGGTTTTGGACTGGGCATCTGCATTCATCCCTGCATTTTAATTTTATACCCAACTGTTCCTTTCGCTTGAAAAGCAAAAAATCTCTATTTCCATCTCCTGGGGAGTACATCATCTTAGATTCAAAATGCTTCATTGCCCTCCAAGTTACATTTGCTTTCTCCCAAGGCCTCGCTGCTGAATATTCTATTTAGGTGCCAACTTTTTCCTTTTTTAACCAAAGATTTAGTCTGCGCCTGTTCTTATTTCTGTTAATTTAATGTCATGACTCGTGTCTTTAAGTGGACATTGTCATTCCTTGGGCCTATTATCTATATTCCTCCAGCAATTTTTCAAGTTGCTTCTGACATAAAGCATCTGTGGACAGGTAGTATTTTTGCAGCGAGTGAAAGGAAGTACAGCGAACTCCACAAGTTCACCCAATTCAAAACCTACAAAAGAGCCAATTACTGCAGAAATTGAGAATGCATCTGTAGTCGATGTTAAAGTGAATGAAAATAAAGCACAAAGTATTGAGGATAAGGGCATAAATTTTGAGGTAGCAACCGAGGAAGGGATCAAAAGTCTGATAAATTTTCTCAAAGATAAAATCCCTGAACTGAAAATGAAAGTATTGAACATCAATGTTACCGAAGAAGTAATAAAAGATAGCAACACGGTGAAGCAATTCTTGGAAGAAGATGGAGAGAATACATCATCCACTGACGATTCTGAAGACGAAGCTAGTAGATTAGATGACAATCAGCCTGACCAGGTTCCTTTGGGAGGAAGTGGCGATGCTGGGGAGGATAGAAAGAATTTAGATACGAAGCTTTTCATTGGTGGAGTATTACACAATAAGGAGGACATTCCTTCCAAGGATGAGTATGTACGGGTACCAGCTGAAATTGAAGATATGGAAAAGGATACTTTTGTGCTACACATTCCTATGAAAAACCAAGATAAGGATGCTGATGAAAATATTGCATCTAAGGTCAAAATGGCCGTAGGGGTTTCTGACCTCATGCCTCCAGATGTGGCCAAGACATTTTGGAGTTCTGATAAAATTTCTTCAAAGGTAAGACTGAAAATGGAACTGTTTTTTTTTCTTTTTTTTTTCAGTATGCTATACCTCTAGGTTTCTGCTTACTGATATTTTATAAATTAGTTTTGAAATATGGTTCCAATCCTGCATTTTCACTTGTCAAAACTAATTTTTATAGGTTTCCCAAAACATATTACTGTAGGTATCTAAAGATGTGCGTGAAATTGTCAAGCTTGCTGTTAGTCAGGCACAGAAGCGTGAAAAATTATCCGAATATACAAATTTTAGTCGAATATCCACTTCCAAAGGTGATGTAGATCCGTTTGATGGTGAGTTTGCTTCTCTCTGTTACACTCGTCCAGTATGAGCAAGAGTAAAAATTTCAGAAATTTAACCTGTTGGTTCTAATGTAGGCTTATATGTTGGTGCATTCGGCCCTTATGGCACTGAGGTGGTGCAGTTGCGGCGTAAATATGGTAACTGGAATGGTGTGAACAATGCTGACAAACCTTCGGATGTGGATTTCTTCGAGTATGTTGAGGCCGTCAAGTTGACAGGGGATCTAAATGTTCCCGCTGGCCAGGTTTTGGTGGCTTGCATATGCAATCAAATGATTTGTTTTATAATGTTTATATGTGTAACAGGAGTTGTTTTTATTTATCATATACTTTGTGGATACTCAGGTGACATTTCGCTTTAAAATTGGGAAAGGGAATCGCCTCCCCAACAGGGGTATGTATCCAGATGAATTAGGAGTGGTAAGTATGCTTGCAATGCATCTCTTTGTGTGCATGAGCACACGTACAAAGTAGGATATTTCTTTTTATGTATTTTTTTTTTGGGAGGGGGGTTGAATCATTGAACTTTTTTGAGCCTTGGGGTTTATTCCAGGCTGTGTACCCAATGTTGTGGACACTTGATTCTTGATTATTGTTTTGGAGGATTCTCGCCACTCTTACACCGAGAAAGATGATTCTTTGGAGGAAATTTATTGTAGGGCTGAGTATCAATGTGAACTTTTTGTCGTGGAGAAACATTGACAGGAATACTAAGGCTGGCTAGGTATCATCATTTAGTTTTGGTATGCAATAAATAGTAGGCAACTATAAAAACCAAAAATAAAAATGATTGAAAACCCACACAGCACTTCTACCCAAAGCAATGTGGGTCCCCGATAATAGTGCCTAATACCCGAAATATAAACAGTTTAGATGCTTCTTTGTATTATGTTAATTTGAGTATTCTAGATCGATGCTAAAACATTAGAATTGATTGCAACAAGATCCATCGTTGGGGTCATAGTTTTTGTTATTGCAACAAGATCCATCCTTAAACACATCTATCAACAATTTTGTGAAAGAACCAAGTATGCAATTCTTCATTTGTTGGGCATATTGACAAGGTTTATGACTGGACGTAGATTGATGGAGGAGCAACAAGTAGACAAGTAGAGAAACTGGTTCAAAATGGGGTGTTGGCTGGTGATTTGGTTCAGAATGGGTTGTTGAATATTTTATGTAATGGTCTGCAGGGTATTGAAGTTGGGACTGAATAAATAGACTAGTGTCCTATTGAGTGCTCGTAATTTGGTTGCTTTGAATTTTTTTGGGTAGGTGGATGCTTGGAAATTTTACCTGTGACTAATTGTGTGAACTCTTTCATTCAGCTTGCGAGTTACAAAGGTCAAGGAAGGATAGCAGAATTTGGGTTTCGAAATCCAAAGTGGGTTGAGGGTGAACTTCTTCAACTCAATGGCAAGGTAATTAAGTTGTTATCATGTTTGCAAAATCATTCTTTGGATACCAACCGAAGCTAAGAGTTAAATTCTGACGGTGCTTTATGATTATTAATTACGAAGTATGATTTTTATCATAGGGTATGGGTCCATATGTCAAAGGTGCAGACCTTGGTTTCCTTTATGTTGTTCCTGAGCAAAGTTTCCTTGTGCTATTCAATCGTTTGAAACTACCGGACTAGGCGTTACTGCTATTTTCTGTTTAATCCAGCACGCCCTTCCATGTGAGAGACACCGAGAATAGATTTTTGTTTTTCAGTCCCCGCCTCCCGCCTCCCTCTTTTCTTCTTCTTCTGGCAGAGGACACTGTTTTTACCTACTATGTAACTAAGCATGCATTTTTACCCCCCTCTTCCCTCTTGTATGTTGTCGAGTGCACTGTTTGGATGAGAATTTGCTTTTAGGATCATCAGCAGCACAATTTCCTTGATGGATATCTCTGGATTTTGTTGAATATAACGTGCATGGAAGTTCATGATGACTTGGAGAGGGAGGGACTGAGGTTTTGGGTAGAGATGTCAGTTTTTCACATTATGACATGAATGAAGTCTACAATCAAAGTGAATATTTGTTCTTGATGGTTAGGTTACTTTGTTGAGCGCCCGATAATCCCCGCATTTTCTAGAATAAAACAGGGAAATACCATTTTCTCCAGATAAACTCGTTTAAATGCTGCTTTAAAAAGAAAATGTCTATTTTTTTATTGTGTAAATTTCTTAATTTTGTAGTATGTTTTTTTATTTGGATTTGGTAGGATGTAGATTGGTTAGATTTTAAATTAATGAAAGAGTGCATGATAAATTTGTTTAGTGAAAATGGATCCTGGTTTTATATCCGAGTTATTCGAAAGTTACGAACCCAAGACGAAACCCATGACCCGATTGTTCATAGGTTAGCTTTGGGAGGGATGGGGAATAGGACTTATCTAACGAGTGTAATAAATTAGTTCTTTGATTAGAACTTCGTAGCATTGCTCAAGTGATAAACACTATCAAAAAAGGTGGCAAGTGAATTCAAAAAGTAAATGTACTCTAAAACGATGCGCACATAATACTCTTTTCGTTTTTAAATATTTGTCATTTTATATAATTTTTTTTGTTCCATAATATTTGTCGTTGTATGAAATTAAAGCATAATTAATATTTTTTTTAAAAATTTATCCTTAATTTTTTAATGCATTAGATTAGGCGGAGGTTAAGTATTTTTCATATTTTTTCCTTCCCAATACATATTGAATAAGAGTATTTTAGTCTTGTGTAATTATTTTTTATTTATATTACAGTTATTTAATAATTTTTTTAACCACTGTGTAAAAATCTTAAACGACAGATATTTAAATATTTAGGAGAAGGGAATAATAAAATAGAAGTAGTAGATAATGGTAGGAGTGTCTTTAGCATCACGATTCCGTGTGAGTTTTTGAGTTTTACAAAACAAAGCAACCCTTGCTCTCTTGGTCTTGGAAAGCTTGGAGTACCTTTTGGGTCATCATCATATCTATGTTTAATTCAACATGGAGGAAATCAACAGAAAAAGAGACAATGACAAAAAAAGGATTGTGGCATAAAAATTTCCCTCAATTTGTATTGTGTGTGAGTGGTGAACTGCATTTTTTTATGAAATAATTATTTTTTTACATAAATAAGATAGTTACTAAATTACTTCGGATTCACTTACTTATATTGTTATTATTGGGTTGTGATGCCACGTTGCATTAGTAACGTGTTGTCACGAGAGAGAGAGAGAGAGAGAGAGAGAGAGAGGTGCTTGAAGAAAAACCCATTTTGTGGAACTATCAACCTTTGACTTGTTTAAGTTTTAATTCCATGGAATCAATGGGAAAGCAAAAGCTAATATCTTCCACTACTGATTCCACATGTTTTTGAAGTATGTTTCTATAGCTTTTTCCTTTCTAAGAGAACTTTACGTTTGTTCTGTTGTGTTGGTTTTTATCACTTTTACCAATTCCAAATCAAGAAGAAAATAAGAGAACTTAGCTAAGAAGAAAAGACTCAAAGTGGACAACCCAACTAACGCCACAAATGTTCTAAATAATACTTGGAGTGTGCTTGATAGTGACTTAAAGAATCACCTTTCATAGAATGATTCATGGAGAACCTAACCCACCTCTAGTTCCATGCAAAACCAACCATCATTTTTTTTTTCAACACTTAAGAGTGATTGGGTTAATTTAAGTGCATTTTTAGTAGTTTTTTTTTTGATCCGATCAAAGACATACTATCCTCGCTGAAATTAGAGTATTTAATGGTACTTTTTATCTTGTAAATATTTTGTTTTGTTGAGGTCAAGGGTTCAAATCTCCCCTTCTCATTCTCCCCTAAAAAAAAAAATTTAAGAGAAATAAATATCTCGTAATCACCTTGATATCCCATAATTCAACAAATTATTTCTTCATAGATGATACTGATAAATTCTAAATGATTGTAATTTTCAACAGGATACAAATTCAATAGAATATTAATAAGTAAAAATTGATCGGCTCTTGATATAAATTCAAAAATAATATTGCTCATTAACACAAATAATAAACATGTCAGATAAATTGTAAGAGTAATGTTACATGAACTTCAAAAATAGTAGACTTGAGACCTACTACTTATTCAATGATTGTCATTATCAAGTCTATTGTTTAAGTTTATGTAACATTGCTAAAACTTTAAACATAAAAAAATAACTTTGATCTCATAAACTTATTTAATTGGGATGATATTAGAAAGATTTCTACTCCCTTTAATTCTTTTTTTCTTTATTTAGTGATTTAGTGTTGTTTGAATTTTTGAATATTTATGAAAAAAAAAACTCTAATTGTGCATTTTGATTTATTGATTATGTATGTCAATATTGACACTATAAAATTAGTAAGTAAATTAATTTAATTTTATATTATTGACACAATTAATGAAATGAATCGGGTTAAAACCAAATACTACTCAATTAAAACACAAGCTACTCGATTATTAAACCCACTTAATTTCCTTCCTTTATTCATATAGGATTGAAATATTTTTTAATATATTTTTTCAATTTTATTTTTCAGTGTGTCAGTAATTGTAATTTAATTTATTTACTCATTAATAATAGATGATTTATAAAAAAAAAAACACAAAAACTAAAATAGTTGAGGAGATAGGATCCGACCCGCCAAAAATGCAAACGGATTTGATATTCATTACAACTAAGCTTGTTAACTGATCAAATTTAAATTGAATATTGACTGATCCGGATCTATATTCAAATTCGATTTAATTATCCAACATATTTTATTTTCATGGTCCATATTCAAATTCGTTACTAATATGAAATCCGATCCAAAAATTCAATCCGAAAAATTTTATTTAATTAAAACTTAACAATTGCCTATAAATTTCAATTAGATTTTTTTAATATTTATTTAAAAATATATACATGTTTCGTGTCGGATCATAATTTGATCAAGATATATTTAAATTTAAATTCGTGAAATATCAATTCATATTCGACTGAAACAAAATCGGTAGACGGGCCCTAATTCTACAACTTGTGTGCTCCTCTTCACACCAAATGATTCCTCTCTACTGTCCACTTGGCACAAAACTCATTTAACACATAAAAAGGCTTCGTCTCTCCCACTTTCTTTCCCAAAGTTCTTCGCTTTTTCTTCCACTTTCCTTATTTTTCTGAAACCAGCCGAGAAAATACAATAAAATGCAAGACCCAAACCAAGACATCAACACCAAGAACGTTGATAGCATTCACAAAACTGGCAACAGATCAATGTCGGATACAGAGTCACAAACGAGTCAATTCGACTCGTTTCACTCCCCTCTCCATTCCGACTCATCCCTCCACTCCGACTATCCTGAACCCCTACCCCCACCGGCACCCGATTCTTATTCCCCACCAAAATCCCCTTCCAAAGCCATTGTTTCCGCCGATAAGCTCTATCCCCCTCTCCGGTCGCCTGAAAAGCCGCCGCAAAATTCAAAATTTCAGGCGAATTCTAATTTGCCGCCGAGTTATCCGCCGGCGGTGAAGAGTCAGAATCAGGCGCCGCTGGTGAAGAGTCAGAATCAGGTGCCGCCGGGGCTGGTAGTGAATAAGGCGGTGAGAGAGGAGGTGGCGTCGGGGGTAACGAAGGTGGGACATACAGGTTTGGGTGGTGTAGAGGATGGTTATGGTGGTGGTGCTGAGGATGGGGTGGGAGGAGAGAGGAGATCTCGGGCGGCGGTGTCGTCAATACTGAGGAGGACGCGGAAGGATGTGATGGTGAACAAGGCGGCTTTAGGGTTTAGGGTTTGTGAGGTGATTTTATGCTTGATTTCGTTTTCAGTTATGGCTGCTGATAAGACTCAGGGGTGGAGCGGTGATTCCTTTGATCGATACAAGGAATACAGGTTTGAGTTTCGATCTTTTCCTCTGTTTTCTTCACATTTAGACAGTTTCAGTTGTAATTATAAGTACACACACGACTGGTGTAGGATGAAGTTGGTGAACATTATGAATGTGAAATCTGTGTGTGTGTGTGTGTGTGTGTCATAAAGTTACAAAATAACTTCATGAGTTGTGCTAAAATTAATTCTATAAATTTGTAATCTTTGCCGAATACAAATCAAAACCACCTAATCCAATTGTTAATAGGATCCTTTTATTATTAAAGCATGGTTAATATTACAAAATGGTTAGGAAGAGCTCTGTATCATTAGTTGCACTCATCAGCACTACATGTATCTTCACTGGTTCCTATTGCAGATTTTGTCAGAAGAGAATTTGCACTGTTTTAAACATTCACTTCGTTTTCACGTTTGTTGGGCTGGATGCTGGCAACTTGGTTGGTAGATCTTCATGCTAGTTGTTTTTGTATGGGATGGTTATGGTGCTATTAGTTGTTTTTTGAGGTGTTGGCCTCCCATCAAAATAAAAAAGTTGAACTTGCTTAACAAGTTTGTAAGGGGCCACATGCAAATCCTTCCACTAAAATTGTTGGTCTTTATACATTTCCACTAATCAGCTTAAAGCTTTAGTTGCACTGCATGTGCTCGTAGGTATATGAAATGTTGATTGGCCAATTTGCTGTCGATCCAGATCACATTCAATTGCCCAATGAAATCCTTGAAACATGGAAGGCTACAGGTTACATTCTTGCATTTAAAATAATGTTTGTTCTGACATGAAGGTAGCAGTCCCTTGTATCAGTGAAAACTTCCCTTCCCTTAGATGGTGGGACTTTATATTTTTCCCTGTTAAGGTCACATTCATATATACACTTAAAAATGAAAATGGGAGTTGATCTGAAAGTATAATCACCAGCTGACTTTATGACCAAGATGATTGGAACCATAAGTCCAAGGAGTTACTTGATACCTCATCGATTAGTCTGATTTATCTTTTGGAACTTGATACTTAATCACTTAGCTAGGTTTTATCTCTTTGATAATCTAATTAGAAATACCCAGACTTACTTAGCCAGAAAATATGTTGTGGAATTGCTCCCTCTGGTAATTGTTCCTTGAGATGAGTACAAGAACCAGTGAGGTCAATCATTTCATTCATTGTCACGTTACTGTGTTGAACACCTGAATACATACTCAGCTTTGTCAGCTCCACTGTTTAATTGATTGATCTTTTTTTCAAAAACTGAAGCAAAACACAGTGATTTGCTTGATTACTTGTGGATTATTTTGGTACCACAATTCAAAGACCGAGTTTTGAGTAGTCTCTGACTAGAGCATCATTGGCCATTCTTCTTTCTTTAGTACTTTTGTATACTTTGATGCTAAGCATTTTTTAGCTCATGGCACCTACAAAAATCTCTTGAGAGAAGATAAACGATTCTTTCTGGGTAGTTCCTTTTTACAAATCCTACTACAAGATTTTTTCCTTACGAAGATTGGACTATTCAACTCAGTAGATAATCACTTGAATGTTTCATGTAATCTTATTTTGTTTGATAATATTGAAAAACCTAGTTCCTCAGGTTCTGACAATCCCAAATTATTACAAGTCTTGCCTTATGTTTCTAAATGTATTTACGGATGATGACCTCTAACATCAATGAATGCTTTATTAATCTCTAGTGGTATTGGGACAGATTTATTTTCCTCGTATCGTAAGTTCCCAACATTGACATTCAGACAGGCGAAATAAAAAATTTAAGATACTGCTTATCATCATATTATTAATATCCTATTCCAAAAATTTACTCATCTTACTAGGAATCGGCATTGTATGTCACTCCTGCTGCTAGATAAGCATTGAAGATTTGGTTCTAACAATTGATGTGCAGTCCTGGAAAATTATGGTCATTTGATTTAGTAATGCAACATTGATGCATTCTTTCTGGTATTTTGCAATATGTAACTATATCATTTTCCAGTTGATGCACATGTGAAGAGATTATGTTATTCTCGTCTTTTTGTTACTGTTTCTGTTTTGAGTTTTGATGACGGAGCTCATTTGATGACGCAGGTATTGTGTAGCTGTGTCTGTCATCGGATTTGCATACTCAGGGTTCCAAGCTTGCAATCTCTCCTATCATTTGATCTCTGGGAAATACATAATCTCTCACCCTCTTCGTTATTATTTTGATTTTGCAATGGATCAGGCAAGTACTTCATAAAAATCACTCCCTGTTTTTGGGATGTGCAAGTTTCTAATTATGTTATAGCACATGACATTATTTATATAATAATGATCAAGCTCTAGTGGTGAGAGGGTGGGGCCCATCTGATTCAAGGTCCTAAGGTTCAATTCACCACACCGTTGCTACAACGTGGAATTGAATAACATATTCATCATTTTGTTGAGGTTCGCCATTCTCCATTTAGGTGGCCATAAACTAGGTAAAATTAACTGTAAATGAACTTGGTCAAAATGCCTGCACCAGTGGAGTCTGGTTTTTGCGTGTGTATGTTGAATAACTGTTCCTCATTGTAGTTCAACAATCTCTAGTGGTAGTCAGGAATTAAGTATGAACCCACCTGTAGTAAACTGCATATCTTCCTGGAAGAACCTTATGATTTTGGTGATTACCATTCCTCGTTTTTTGGGAGCTTTTCATTTTTCTGATGTTTTCTGAACTTTTCATGGGAGTTGTCTATTCAAAACTGATTACTGTGCTGATGAAACAAGTATAGAGCTCTTGCATGTCTGCCACTCTGACGAGTATGTCTTGAATGTTTCACACCCACAGGACTAGTTTTATTTGGGATGTCACAGGCACTAATAGAACTTGGGTTGGTTGGATGTGATAGTGTTGTTTGAGCGTTTATTTGTTCTTGGGCTGGTGGAATTCATTTGGTGGCTGCCATATCTTTTTTATGATAAGTATCCATATCTTATACATGATATACCTTCCTCATTTTGTGCTCTTGATGTGCATGTATAGTACACCTATGGTTTTCTTTTAATCTGGCTCACACCTGTTCAAAATGTTTTCTTACTGATCATGAGTCGTGATTTGTTGATGTAAATGGCAGATACTGGCATATCTTCTAATGTCGGCATCATCTTCAGCAGCAGCTAGGGTTGATGACTGGACATCAAACTGGGGGAAAGATGAGTTTACAGAGATGGCTAGTGCATCTATTGGGATGTCCTTTCTGGCTTTTGTTGCTTTCGCCACGAGCTCCCTAATATCTGGTTACAACCTCTGCAACTTCAATTCCACTTGATCTCAAGACTATTCTCGAACCGTTTTTATATCAGGCTTTAAAGTGGTAAGAAAAATGCTGGTAGATTATTTCAACGCAAGTCGTATTTGAAGTTGTACATATACGAGCATCATGATAGATTCTATAGTAAATATTCTTTTCAACAAAAAAGAGGAGAGAACAAAGTTGGGGGGGGGGGTAGGTTGTAAGTTGTAACTATATAGTTGGTTTTGATGGAAATGAAATGAATCATTCAACTATATTATACAAATAAACATTGTTTTGTGCATGGAGAGACTGATTTCGGTGAATGTGTTAATATCTCTTAGTGTCATCTCACTGCGATTACCAATGATGTTGGCCCAACGGGTAAGGACTTGGATTTTTTTGCTTAATTTTTGTGTCAGAGTCTCCATAGTTACAAAAGTTCGTTGGAACTAAATTTATTCTGCAGCGTCCAGAGGACACGATGGGACCTTAGTTTTAGCCCCGACTTAAGTGTGGTGGAGTCCCTGCAGATAGCCGTGGGACCTTAGTCTTAGCCCCAACATAGGTGCGGTGGAATCTCCTGTAGATAACAGTGTGGTGATGAGATGCAATGTTTTCAGACGAATATGTGGAGTGGTCTATATGTATATTCATTTTCTGTATCAAAAGAAAAATCTCACTGTATTATGTCCGTTTTCATCGGGACTAGGTTCAAATGCTATGTGATGTGTTTTTATTTTTAAGGCAAATTACACAAAATATCCTTGAGGTTTGCATTTATTATACTCCCTATATAATGTTTCTTAAGGTGGTGGTGGTGGTTTGGTGTAGGAGGCCAGTTTCAATTGATAAAATATTCAATGCAACAGTGATATCATGTTAGCATTGATGATATAGTATTACCAATCAATAATAAAATTTTAATGGTTAAAGTGAATTCTACTTAGATAGTTATTAACTTAAAAAAGAGTGTGTAGTATTGACTTATATGAACTTATTGATTTGTGTTGTCTGGTTTTTTATTTGTTTACATATTATTGATCGGTGATACTAAGGGATAATGTTGAAAAGGTATTACCGTTGCAATGAATATTTTTTCCATTTTTTGGGGTGGGTGAAGGCCAAGAGAGAAGGAAGATTTTTTTTCATTTTTTTCATGAATCTATATATATAGTTTGTTTAACCAACTAGTTTTTGATGGAGTCATCAATATCTATAGTTAAAAATAGCTACTTTACCCTTATTAATAATCAAATATATAGAGTGGTCGATTCAAATTCATTTCTAACCGAGAGGAGTTCTCTGTAATTTTCATAGTATATAATCTGCTCAAACTTTAAAGGTGGTCTATGATCACCCTGAATATCATTTCAGCTCGAACAACTTGGACCCAGATATGTCAGTATATTTTTGCTGAATTTATCTCATTTTCATAGATTGTTCATCATGTATGCAGTGGTTTCCTATATAGAGCATTTTACCAATCCAGTTCAGGATAATATGAGACATTCTCTTCTCTATGTAACAAGTAAATTGAATTATAGCTTGAAACTTACTAATGAGTTTTTGGTCTAATGATACTCTTTATCTTGTGAAAATTTTATTTTCTTGAGGTCAAGGGTTTGAGTCCCCTTCCCCTCTTAAAAAAAAAAAAAAGAATTATAGCTTGAAACAGTAGGTTTTGTGGGAGTATCTCGTTGTCCTGAGGGTCGTCGGAATCGTCCATCGGGCCTTGTGCTTGTGGGTTGCTGTTAGAGGCAAATCTGGAGAGAGAGAGAGAGAGATTTTGTTGGAATGCAATTCAGAATTCTAAACTTTGAAAGTAGAGATTGCACCACAAAATTTAGCCGTAGGGGTTAGATAAGATTGGCGTCTTGCAGGATTGCTCAGTTTATTTATCCACAGTATTTTTTTGGCTGGGTGGTCAGACTGATCAGATGTAGCAATCCCTTAGAATATTATTTTGAGGTTCTCATTCGTTGTTCAATATTTAGTTTGAATTATTACTACTGACTTGGGATGGGATGAGGTCAAACTAGATATTCAGTCATTCCAACAATATCTGATTTACATGGACTATTACTTTAAACAAGTTCGAACTCATGGCCATTGAATAAGGGCGAGAATTTCACCCTCTACTGATGCCAACTAGACTACCCACTCCTCGTGGTATTTATCCAAAGTACTTAGTAAGCTCACATTTAGAAGAAAAAGCTGTAAATTATGTATGAGTGCAAAAGAAATTGAGTTTGACACAAGTTTTTCAATCCAACAACTACCATATTGTAGAGGCATGGTACATCAATATTGGGACTCATTAACCACCGCAATTCATATGCCATCTCATCCACACATAATGAAAACACAAAATTGGTACCTAGTCCCTCAAGGGAAATTTGAAAAGTTAATATAAATTCGAACTTCATACAAATATTTAGATCGACTCGATAAACATATTTTAAGGAAAGTGAATCAAAACACACTTGACCCTTTTTTTTAATGGAAGGTACTTTACTACAATGGCTTATAAGTGGCTGTCGATGAATCAATTTCTAATTTGAATTCGAATATGATTAATCAGATATGAATTAATATTTTTAATCAATAATTTGAACTCAAATCCAAATCTAAATCTTATAACTTATATTTCTCAGATTCAGATTTGGATATAGTTATATCTAATTCGATTATGATTCAATTTAGTTGAAATTTAAGTATAATTTGTTAAAATTTAGTTAATTAAGTTATTCGGGTGAAATTTGATTTTCGAATCGAATTTCAGATTATTAAACAACGAAAATAAAATTCATCGAACTATCGGATTGAATTTGAATCAGACTTTTAAAATCTGATTCTCCTGATTATTATAAGTGTCCCACTTAATAAATTATTGGAATATTAAGAGTTTGAAACGGACGACCTTTGGACTATCCAACAAATATTCTCCATCTGCCATATTCTTTCAATGTTCAAATTTGGACTACCCAACAAATGTTCTCTATTAGATTCATCATTTTTCAAACCAACCACCCACCTACCCTCCTCCATTCATTCATTATGATTGGTTACATATTCGGTTAATCTTATTGGTGTTGACTGCATAAAAGAAAAGCATCTAATCTAGTACTTAAAAAAAGCACAGTATTCCATGCACACCAGACCCACCTATAATGAGTTTTAGTTGGAAGTGGTGGACTGAAAACCACTTCACTCTTATTTTATAGACTCAGACCCTCGGAGAGGATCTAATCAGTTCAGAGATGTCCTCTTTTCATTTATTTTTTAATTCAACGGTTAAAAGTGTTTGAATTAATTTATTTATATTTTGATTAATTTTTTTTTGGTTCGATCAAAGACAGATAATTTACGTTGAGATTAAGATATTCATGAGAAATAAATCTCTCATAACTTGACTCCAACGAATTGTCAAAATTCAAATTCAATTACTTATTTTAATTCAACTTAATGGGAGTCTTAATTATAGGCAAGATACATGAATCTTATTTTTTTTATTGTGCTTCCTTAGTTACCTACTAAAAAAGAAAAAAATTAAGATAATTAACTATTAGACGGTGAGCTCGAGGTTAGATTCATTTGAGTTTCTCTATAGCAAGTAAGGTGGTGTTTGATAACCTCATTTAGCACTTAAAACTAAAAACATTTAATATTTTTTTAATAAAGTGTGTTTGATAATAAAAGTTCACACCACTTACAATTTTAAGTATCTTTTAAAAATAGACTAAAATTTTAAGTAGCCTCAAACAATTAGTAAGAAATTTATAAACTTCTTATAATGGACAAGTTTACCCTCAAGCAATTTGATCTAAATTCATTTTATACTCCAATTTTCCACCACCTACCATCCACCACTACCAGTGATATGTTACCATTACCGCCCCACATCTCCACCATTGATATTTCTACCACCTTGCCACCACATACCACTCCCATTGTCGCCAACACTATCACCGTCACTAGTATACCACCACTACAACTATGCCCATTACCATCACATCCCATATTGTCACTATTGTCACACCACTGTTGCCACAACCACAACCACCACCACCATAAATGCTGTTACCACCACTTCACCATATCCACCACCACCAAACACCCCACAACCGTTATTCATATCACCACCAGCCACTCAATCACCATACCTTACCACCTACCCACATCCACTATTGCCTTTAACATGCCTACCTACTGTTTCATTACCACGCCACCACCACCAACAAACTAACCATTATCATCATTGCAACAACTATCATTTCCCCACGACCACCACCCCACTATAACCACTATCATCTCCACCCTGTTATAGCCACCACCATCGCTTTATCACAATAATTGCCACCATCATCCTCTATTATAACTCTATATCGTTGTTAATTTTCTACTACTACCACTAGTACCATCACCACCACCTTATTTCACCATCACCAATCATCATGTCGTCACCACTGTCAACAACTTTGATCTTACCACCATCAACATCAGTCTAAGCTCTACTATATCATCCCATTACCACCGTCGCTTATTGTCAGCACCCATCACTACCACAACCCACCACCACCTGTCTTTACCCACCATCGTTGTTAGCCATTGTCACCCACCCCCACCGCCGTCGTTGTCATTCGCTACCACCCATCATACTGTCATCCAGAAGCACTTGTCATCGTCCACCACTACAATCGTTATGGCTCACCACCAGAACCCACCACCGACACCACCACCGTCGTCGCCCCACCATCACCATTGCCAACCAAAATCACCGTCGCCCACCACCACCACTGTCACCCATGGTTACCATTACCATCATTGTCTTGCAAAAACCACTAACGCCATCACTGTTGCTACCCATGGTTGCCATCATCACCACCCGCCACAACCATCGTCGTTTTTCACCACCACCACCACCATTATCGCCGTGCACCCCTCACTACAACCGGTGCTTAAATTTCTTTCTTTCTCCTATATATTTGTGATTTGATTTTAGATGTGAATACAAATATGTTTATTGTTGACCATTTTTTTTATTATTTCTTGTCTTCAGGCACATACAATAACTAGTTTATATAATAAAGTAAAATACAATTTAAATTTTAAAAAATAAATAAAATAATTTTTCTTTTCGCGGTTGAGATCTCTTTAAATTTTAATTTAAAGTTAATTCGACGATTAATATTTACTTTCGAAATTTAAAAAAAAAATTTGGCTCCTAAAAATGTGTTTTAGGTGACTTTTTAAAAGTGCTTTTAGAATTTATAACTTTACATAAATACTTTTTTAAAAAAAAGTAGTATTTGGAACCGTCCCATCACCATCATCACTACCACTACCACTGTCACCCCATCACCACAACTACTCCCACCGTCACTACCAGCCCCTTCACCACCATCGTAACAATCACCACCACCACCATAACTGCTACTGTTGCCACCACCACTACTACGACCCACCCACAATCACCATACCCACTGCCCCACCACCCCCATCACCACCATTACCATCGCCACCACCGCCATTACTGCCATCCCACTACCATCTTTATCACAACAATCGCCATCACTGCCCCACCACCACTACCGACACCACCACCCTTACCCCACAA